TAAGACAAACTATATATTATATAATTATATTTTCTATTATTTTATATATTAAATTTATTCTATATTATCACATATGATAATTATGTATAATATGTAATGTATGTAATGTAATAAATAATATATATTTCATAGATAGATGTTATATATCTACTTATATAGATATATAAGAATATATAAAATATTGATAAATGTTATGTTAATATCATGCACTTAGCCCTGATCTCATGGAGATTGCTATAAAATGGGTAAGATCAACACTAACCAAGTGATTATATCAGTGGATGCACATGCAAAGATAAATGCAATGAAAGAAATGGACTGTATTTTATTGGAGTGTCTATTTGACAGCATCAAACTGGAAGGGCATTAAAGAGTGCTTTTCTGAAAGACAGTAACGTTTCTTGAAATTCTTTGAACGAGCAGGAATTAACAGACAACAAGACAAAGGAGTAAAGACAAAGAAAACTCTCTTACTGTACAGGGTCTGTGGGATTAATAAGTATGTAAGGTTTTGTCAAGTTAAAGATTTGGGCCCTAAAGGCTGGCCTTGCAGCAAAGCCATTTAAGCTGTGGCAGCAACTACTCGTACAAATGTCAAACAAGAGGGAATCATTAATGGTGTCTGGTTTCTAAGGGTGCGGGGAGAGATTTATAAAAGATGGAATGAGGGTGCCTTTCATAAAGTAGCAGATAAGAATTAGTACAAAGTGACCACACATTACAAGCAGATATGATGGCTAGAAGTTGCAAAGTAGACTGGCTTCAAGAGGTTACTGTACTCACTGATGATGACCAATAAAAGAAGGGAGAGGTGAAGAACAGTTAATAAACCATAGGGTTTTTTAAAATACATGATCTAAGTTAGAATGCTGCTGGTGTGGAGTTGTCAGCCAAAGCTGACATTGGTGATGAGATGAATTCTCTCCTTATCTGTGTCTCCCATCAACAGCGTTCGCATTCTTTCTGGAGTGGGGCTTTGTGAGACATGCTAGGGGAAATGGGACAAGGAAATGGGAAGTTGTGGCAGGGAAATTTCTCGAATGACTTGCCGAGGTGTCCAAGCTGGGGAGCAGTCCTATTTGTTTCCCATTGGCATTAGGAGAGGATTTAAGAGTCAAAGGATAATCTGAAAGTCTGAAGCCTCCTCTCCCAGGTTTTGGTGGTTTGAATCAATTAATGAACACAATTTACTAGATCTCTGATTTCAGTTCCCTGTTTGGAGCCTTCTAGCTCCGTTCAGTGTTTCAGTTGCATGCAATTATCCTTGAGCGTTCCATGGATCACAGACTTCACATCAATGTGACTAAGCACTGACTTGTTCATCTCTCATGTATGCTTATTCACTTACACAAGCCCCTTTGAAGGTATAGTGCAGATGCCTGCATTATCTCATAACCATTTTACAGAAATGGAGTTTCCAAAAGATTAACCAACTTATTTGCCCAAAGATACATATTCATTAATGTCAGAATAAGACTAGTACTCAAGCCATTCTCCTAAGGAGTGCTCTATCCTATCTCCCAGACACTAAATGTTTTCAGAAATGCAAAATTACAAATGGAAAATGTCATTGTCGGCTCTGACTTCTCTGATATAGCAACATCTCATGCTGAATGGAAGCTTTCTGTTGGATAAAGAATATCACAATTAAAATGGTGAGCCTTTAATATGGTATTCCTTCTGTTTGTATCTACAAGGTTGCATTGAGGTCCTCTGGATTCAAGTTTGGACTGGCACATTTTCAAGTTTCTCTGCTCCACAGTGTCACCAGCATAGCTGTCAAGGTTTAATCTCAGTAGGTTGCTCACTTGCAATTTTTGTGAGGCTTCACTTCTTTCATTGTCTTTACTGAAGCTAAGCTTTCTTTTGCACACTGAAGTTTGAAAACCATTGACTTAACAGGACTCAATTAAGTTTTATTGAACTGACTTGAAAGAGCCATGCATTTGGGTACCTCTACTGGTAAATATTAATTTACCTTATTATGAAAACCATGGAGCCGAAGACACAGAAACACACATTGTGCAGGTTAGCAGCACAGAGATTAACGTTGCATTTAGTTGCTTATTGTTCCCTATGTAAGGTAGCAGGCAAAATGAGCTCTGCTACTGAACACTGTATTATCTTGCCTCACTGTCAGCCATTCCTTTGAAAAGATGAGAAGTAACCACCTGCATCTATAAGTAAACTGCTTCTGCCACTTCAGAGAGAACCCCACGGAAGGCAGAGGCTGGAAACAGCCCCCAAGGATGATTACAGCTGCCAGAATTCCATCCTGAGGGCAGGCACCAGGAATCGTGACTGAAAACAACGTTCTTATCCACAGGGACTCCTCCTGCCAGTACTCATCTCTATTTTCCAAAATGCATCATTATGTTTCCAGTGTAGTCAGACCTGAAACAGATATCGCTGTAGTGAAAATACTCTCCCTTGGCTATGACTCAGGGAAAATCTCGCTTTGTTCCCTGGCCTTTGCTCCATCAAACTGAAAAAGGTCACTTAGAATTTGTCCAGCTATTTCTTATTTTAAAGCAGCTAGAGTGCTTTGGAAATGGTTTTATCATGGTAAGAGAGTATGAAGGAATGTGACTTCTACTCCTTAGTCCTAAGGGAGGATGCAGGAAGAAATATGAATTGAAGCAACTCAGCAGGGTCAGGCCTTATATTTAAGGGACCACAGGCAGCACTGAGCTGCACTAGGACACATTGACAAACATTTGCATCGTCCGGTGGTTTTGCTACAGCTGTCTCAAGAATTGACTCCCCACCATGGAATAAGGTAGGATTGAGAATCGGGTATGCTCACAGTTTGCAGTTTCTCCTCCTCTTTCCCCTGTAGGAACTGGATGTTCCCTCTTAATGATTTACTGTTTGTACCAGCAGGTACAAAGAACTCAAAGAAAACGTTGACCCATATAGACCTTGTCATTCAAAAGCATGACAGACAGATGCAGCCTAGAGACTGCTAAGAAGGAAAGAGGGCAGAAAAGTAGCTTGATCAGACCATGGTCAGCAAGGCTTCAATTGTCTCTGCATTTTCAGAGAACATGAATAGAGAAGAACCAAGTTTCCTATTGCCTGTTAGTTGAAAGTGTCATAATTTTGGTACATGGAAAAATCCTTTGTTGCATCTTTGCCCTTTCAGAAGAATTTATCATTCTTAAAATCCAGGGCTTAAAAGAACTCCCATGCCAGTGTATTATATCTAACTCAATTCAACAAATATTTGTTGATTACTTATTATGATCAGATACTACAAATATTCTAATTTTCAAGATACAGTGTTTCAGAATGGCAATGTAGAGGTTGTTAAAATACGGAATGCTGGCCTCCATCCTCACACTTTATAATTCAGCATATCTGACAGGAGACCCCCGAAAGCTATGATTTTTAACAAGTTTCCAGGGAATGCTGATGCTGCTGATTTGGGAAGCATATAACCACTGACATGGAAACTAAAATATAGTTTTGTTTCACAAGGTTTGGGATAAAATACAACTCATCGGAACACAGCAGAATTTGTCTGCCACTAGTAGGTGTTCAATCAATACTTGTCAAATGAATGAATGAATAAATGAATAGACACATAAGGGGGACACAGTGTGTGAGAAAGGGGAATTTATTCTGGCTTCAGGGTGTACCACTTAAAGAAGCATCAAGGGGGAAGATAGTTGCTTTGTGCCTTGAAGGTCAAGTAGAACTTTATCTATGAATTACACTGAATTGATTCCCTTTTCATTGACATTAAATCAACATGAAAAACATAAAGCATCAGAAAAAAAACTTAATCTGGATTCCTTTTTTTTTTTTTAACCTTGGTCTGGTGACGAGTTGCCTTCAGAAGTTCTAAATAATGTCAAAAGAGTCATAATGCTAGAAAGTGAGATCTGCACTACACTTGAGTTGACAACATTACTAATCTGAGACAAGAATGTTTTATCAGCCCCAAAGAAATACAAGAATGGAAAGTCAGGTGAACATTTACTCAGAGACTTGAGAACAATGAAGGGGCTCACAGGCTCTTACAGTTTTATCGAGGATCAACTCCAAACTGGTTCAAACTGGAACCGTGATTTTGTGAATTCCATCCAGACTTTCTCATAGAAGCACAAGCATTTAGCAGCAGGCAATTTCTGCAACTCTCTTTCAAGAGGATGATAGCGGAGGCTTTTAGTGGAAGAAAAGTGAATGGTCACCAGCATGAATATTTCATCACTCACTCCCCAGGTGCCTGCAGATCAGCATATACAAATTACACGGGTGTGGTGGCAAGACAAGGCTTCCCAAACCTTTCAAGGTAGGAGGTTCTGAAAAAGCACTTGAAATTCCAGCTACCACATGATACGGTTTGAAGACAGCTGGAAACCTTGATCGATATTTGAGGATCCTGAAAAGCGCTCTATCAGATATTTACTTCTTGCTACAATCACTGACAATGCAGATGTGGAAAATACATATTCTTTCATCCTAGTGTCTGATCTGAACAAACCATTTCAGTAAGGGCCTGAGATCTCCTTGTCTTGCTCAAATTCTCAGAAGTACCCATATTCACATTAAAAATTAAAATTGTCCTTAATTTAGCAGAGATAAAAGATCAAGCTAAAAAGGACGCGAAATGACAACTAGGATGAACAGGATATGCGTATGGTGACGGTCAGAAAACTACTTTCCTTATCCTAGATGAAAACCTTGATTCTTCCAGCGTAAGTAATTGATACAGAGGGCCTGCTGCACCTAACATTGTGAGCAGCTTTATGTTTTGTAACAGACTTTCACACACACTGTGTCAATTAATCCTAGCAACGAGGCACTTAGAATTGTGCAGGACAAACATTTTTATACCTATTTGAAAGATGTGGAAAATGAGTTTCAAAAGATGAAGTCACTTGCTCAAAGTCCCGATTATTGATCTGGAATCAAAACCTCAAACTTGCACCCAAATTCATCTGCCTCTTCCAAGCTCCACAGCAAAAGGGAATTTACTTGACAGTCTCCCTTACCTGGCTGAAAACAAGCGTTCTGTAACTTGCTCTGTCCTCTGAATGTCAGCTATTGGGTCAAAGTATCTGACATTGGATCCTGGATCCTTTGCTTGCTGGTGATACGGTTTTGTCAAAATACTTCACACAGGGACTACCTGAAATAGAGCAGGGGATCAAATCAGCAAAATGAAAAAGTAGCCTAAGGATTAGGAGAAGCAATTTACATGTCGTGTATTTGGTGGCAGATTAACGTGTAAATTATAAGAACTTTGACAACTTAATAGGCAAAAACAACCCCAAAAACAACACTGTTATTAAAAATGAGCAATGGACCTAAGCAAACAGTTTTGTGAAGAAGACACAGACATGGCCAATAAGTGATGAAGAGTTTCTGAACATATGTTATACAACCCAAGCTGTGGAATTTTTCCAATTCCTCAAACTCATTTACAATCCAAGATCTCTTGCTCCAGTGATGGTTCATTTTATTCAAATGGCTGTGGGAAGTTGTCTCTTGCCAGTTGTGATACAAGCACAGAACCACATCTCTGATTCTCACTCAAAACCATCTTGTGACTACAGACAAGCCTGCCCATGGATGAGCCCAATACACAAAAGGAAAGCTGCGAGATTAGCAGATTTGTATATTTAGAACTACAGCTTTAGAAGCTTTAATACAATGCCAAAAGCTGTTCACTTCTGAATTATCAGTTCGTGAACCTCAAGGCTAATTTATCAACCAGTTTAAACTGAAAGTATTTTTACATTCATATTCTGGAAGCAGAAATGTGGAATTGGATAAACTAGGTAAAAAGGACAGTGATGAAGGCTCTTGTGTCTAACTGGAAGCTAGATCACTCGTTTAGCCTGGTTTTGAATTGTCAACAAACTGGAAAGAACCAAAGAAAGAAGGCAAGCAAAGGCATAGCATCCATTTACCTGCTGACATCCTTCATCATGCCATTCAATGATTCTAACTTGTCAAATTGAAGACAGATTAAGTGACAGCTGCACACTTTCCCTTGAACATCAGCAAAGCTTCCAAACTTCTGTTTTGATACTAAAAAGAAAAATTAATTCTGCGCTACCAGAACAGAAGTATTCATTGATTTAGATCTACCGTGTCAATACTTAACAAAACTTCAGCTCATTATCAAGTTGGTCATGGCCCATAGCAGATCTTCTCAACAGAACAGAGCTGTTTTCTGCCCCGCCTCAGTGTAAATGTTTGACTGATGAGGACACACTGAGACAGAAGTGAGGACCTCATGAATTCCTTCCTGGCTAAACAGGAGCAAGAATCCGATTCTCTGGCTTCCTTACCTGGCCCTCTTTTCCGTTTCCTATGAAAAAAACTTTCTGCCTGTCCACTACATCTCTGTAACAAACCACAGTTATTTCTTCAATCTTTTAATACTCTACCGCACAAATAAAGCTTTTTAAAAATTGCTAAAGAAGGAGAAAAAAATGGATGATCCATCCAGTCTACCACAAATGCAAACAGACTAAAGACATGAAATTAAAAAAAAAATATTCCCTAATGTAAAATTAACAAAACACAAAGGAGGTTTGTTATGAAGTGAGAAGCGTCAGGCTGTTAAATTTACACAATGCCCTGGATAATGAGTACAAACGGAACACCTCATCTGAATCACATTTATTTATTTAGCCCGAGATGAGGATTAATGCCATAAATTTCTCATTAAATATTAAATCATAGCACTCTTATCCAGGCAAATTAGCCTAGATATTACTGATGCCAGTGAAACTCCATTCTGGATCTAATTTCAATGGTGCAAACTTGAGCCCAAACCAGTTATGTATAAACAATGGCTTTATCACTTACAAATATGCAAAACACACTTTCTTTGTTCTTGAAAGTAAGGTAGCAAATGAATATGTAAGCTTTATCAGAACTATTCAATTTACTCTAGGCCAGAAATTAAACTGCACTTGCTTTGCTCATATTTTCAAAATTCCACCTATCTCTGATGCTTCAGTAGCCCTTAAGAGCGAAGGATTTGTCAGAAGACTATTCAAAGTAGAAATAATCAAAATTCAGGCAATCCCAACAGGAGAAACAGAGTTGGATTAAAAAGCCAGTAGTGAGTCCTGTGCTGTGGTATCACGTGATGGGCCACCACCAGCATCTCATATCAGACCAGCAGTTTGAGTCTGACTACTTCACTTCCAATCCAGCTCCCTATTAATGGACTTGGGAAAGCAGCAGAAGATAGCCCAAGGACTTGGACACCAATTATCCTTTTGACTCTTGGAATGGCTTAAGAAGAAATTGTATTAGCATTTTTTTTTTTTTTAAGTCTGATACAATTCAGCAAGAAGCCATCTGGTACTGGGCTTCTCTTTGGAGACTTCTGATTACTGACTCAAAATCAAAACTTATTATTGTCAAGGCTTTCTGTGTCTTCATTATTGTTCTTAGTAAGTTAAATATTTTCAAAAGCTTATTTACTTCTTTTAAGTTTTTCCAGTTTGCTGGCATACAATCTTTCATAAGATTCCCTAATGCACCAAACAGTCTTACATATTTCTGTTCTGTCAGTGTTAATACCAAATGTTCATATCTGACTTCATAGATAAAAGTCACCTGGATCCTTTAGAGGTATGAGATTGTCTTGGTTTTGCATATTGCCTTCATCGCTACATTAATATTTTTCACATCTGGCAGATTAATTGCATCCATCATTTTTATTAAGTGGCTTTCAGGGTCAGCAGGTGGCACAGTAAGCTAACCCTCTGCCCTGGAGTGCCAGTAACTCATACAGGGGTCAGAAGTCTTGTTCCTTACCGTCTACCCACAATTAGGACAGCGGTAAGGAAGTTAGTCCGTTGACCGTTCAAGCTGGCACCTGCTCTGTTACATTGGAGTCTCACAGCTACAGTCTCACCCATTTCACCGGGATTACCTCTTTGCCTGCTATCGGGGCAGAACTGAAGACTGTGAACAGTGTGATCTGAGAACAGAGGCTTTCTGACTTTCTCTGCCACCAGTTCTCACTATGGTAGGCCTGGCACTAAGCATCAAGGCAATTTACTGTTCCACTGAATTCCCCAGCAGTTTGAATCTTGTTCCACTGCTTCCTGGACATTAAAGAAGGAAGAATATAAGTGGTCCTTTGGCCAAAGCTCAGAATATGTATGTCACATCTGGATTCCTTGTGAAGTTTTCATGATGTCCCATCAATCAGATTTGCACAACCTAAGATACAATGTCTGACATAACCTGTGATCTCCCTGTGGAATCTGGGTAAGGCACCCTCCATTTTTGCAGCTCTGGGATTTGGCTATATTTCATTCAGTAACCTGCTCCAGACCAAAACCTAACAGCACATAATACAAGCGTAATTTCAGTGTGAAACATGAGGTTTGTACAGTGTCTCCATTGCCTTTCACAACTCTGAGACGCCAACTTTGGCTTTACACATCTTGGTAATGCCTGTACTTTCCCTAGGGAACCAGAGCATGACTCTTTCTCCACTGCAGTGCCACAGCCCATGGCTGGCTGTGCAAAATCTTCAGCAATAAATTAGAGCTTACAAATGTGGGTTGGGCAAGGAACATTTCCTACCGTGAGTCCCCAAGGCCGTGACTATTACTATTGCATTTGTCAATATCACAGAAACACACCTGGCCAGCGAACACACCTGGAAAGGCTTGTATTCAACCCTTGAGATTGGGCTAAAAGCCCATTCAGCTCGCCCAGTGCTAGAAATAGGGATTTTGTGTTTTAAGCCCAGAAGAACTTAGCCATATAAATTAGCTACATGACCAAAGTTGGTGCAAAAATGCCAGCATCACTCAGACGTACATAACAGGACAAGAAAATTTCCCTCTCTGTGTCCCAATGCATGTTCACTGTCGTCAGAAACCCCAGAGTGACTGATACTCAGTTATCCGAGCACTGAAAGCATGCACCTGCGGAAGCTCTAAGAACTGCTGAAGATTAGACAAGTATGCTCTCACAGACACTACTAACACAGATTACAACTGAGGAAACCACTAAGAGGTCACATTTCTCTGTTTGCATGCACCAAAGCCAAAGCAACTGCCCACCTGACACTGCATTTCACACAAACAACAAGTCTTTTGTTTTTTTTCTTTTTCTACAAAAACTACTCCATTAGGACAAGGAAATTGTTACACCAAATGAACAAACATCACCATAAGGGACACAAGAAACATGAAAAATCAAGAAAGCATGACCTTTCTAAAATAACCCGATAATTTTCCAGCAATCACACCTGGTTTGAAGAAAATCTACTAAATGCCTGAAATAACATCTAAAATGAGGGCTGACTTTGTGGCACAGGACTTAGGTCACCACTGTGGACAGAGGAACCCTTAATGACGAAACAGCTCTGACCCAAGACATTCCACTTCTGATCTATTTCCCTGCTGGTGTCTCTTTCACTCTCTCTCTCTCTGTCCCATATTCTCTCTGTGTCTTTCAGCTTATCTGTTTATCAAATTAATAACCAATGCCTTTTAAAATATTAAAAATAACTATCCTAAAGAAATATGACAGGATAAAATACATTAGAGTTAACTCCAAGAACTTGGAAAACCAGTGCATGGTATGAATGAGAAACAAAGATCCGGAAACTATTTTTCAAAAATCAAAAATTTGGGGAGCTGAAAATTTAAACCAGCTGAACAAAGGATACAACTAAGACATGTAGCACAAAAGAGACAAAGATACAGAATTGTTTCAAATTTTTCTGTTTTATTGTTATTGTTCTTCACAATTCAGTTTTGTGAATAAGACAACAATTTTAAAATAATTAAGCCAGACAAAAATAAAAGGAATATAAGTAATAACTGTAATAAAAGATAATAAGGAAAATTGAGACAGCATTAAGTGACTAAATATTCACATGACAAAGACAGCTGAAGGTAAAGAGAAGGAAGCAATGTTAAGTATCTATGGAATAAAATGATAATTAAAAATTGCCAAATGTTGCAAGTTATGTAGAAATCTGGATACATGATGCCTAGAGGACAGCAGATTCAACCAAAAAAAAAAAAACTTTCTCCAATGCATGCTATTGGAAAATTGTCAAAAGTTAAGGATTAAAGAATCCCGAAGACAGAGAGAAAAAACAAAAACATAGTTACATAAAAAGATAACCAATTC